AAGGGGTGTGGACAGGTCTATGTTGTACCCACCACTGAGTTATGCTGTGATTCTTTCTCCTCATTACACTGTGAATCTTCTAGACCTGAGCCAGGTCTTCATCACTCTTTTTAGCTCAGTACCATGGACTCTGGGTTTTGTTGACAGTCCCTTATCTCCTCACCTTTCATTGGTGTTGAGTCATGACTTACAATGTGGTGGCCATCTGCAACACGTTCAGCTCTGAGGGAGACTGTGATCCATGCCAGCACAATGTAGGTGCTGTCTTTGACCTTCAACTCTGTGGGTGCAGCTCACATTTCCTGAGGACACAGGTTCCTTGAGTCCTGCAGAGTTGGGCCAGAGTGTGGTTGTCACTTCTTTTTTTGGGGATGCTTTGAGGGCCCCTGCTCTTTTGCTTGGGACTTTGCGTCTGAATAGATGCTGCCCTTGGCAATGGCTGACCTCTGAACTTCAGGTAGGTGATCCCATGATTGCTACCTGAGTTTTAACGTCCTTAGTCCAAGGAATTATTTCTTTTACATTTGGAGAGATTGGAATAAAAATATATCCCTGTGCCTAAGGATTAAGCAAACTACTGACATATCAGTTGTCTTTAAATGTCAGGTAGATCCTTCTTCTCTGTGAACTTCTGTGAATCTACCTTTCATCTCAGTGTACTCCACGTGTAGATGGAGTCAAAGCAGGTCTTGGTGTCTGGTCACCATCATCATAGCATCCAGTCAGGGGCACAGGCATGTGTTTATGCAACTGTATGAAAATAAAATTAGGCCAAGGTTTCCAGGTTGTTCCCTCAGACAAAAAGAAAGCAAGGTGCATGCAGAAAACCCCATGGAGATCATTGCTCAGTGCCAAATTTGAGTATCTTATACCATAGATGATAAATGTAGTTCTTCTTCCACAGTCCAGAAAGTAGTGGTTCCAGGACCCATATAGATACAAAATCAAAGGACGCTCAAATGCCACATAAAATGAACTAGTGTTTGTATACAACGTAGGTGTTCATAAATTCGAAATTCTGTCTACCCGAGGTATAATGCCTGTTGCAATGCAAATGCTTTGTAAGTAGTTGCTACTCTGCCTTGTGTAGGGAATAATGGCAAGGAAAGTCTGTATGGGTTCAGGACAGACATAGTTGCTTTCTTGAATATTTTCTATTACTGGATTGGTTGAATCTGCAGATGCACATGCCACAGGTGCACAAGGCTGGCTGTACATATCGGCATGACAGATGGCACAGATAGTTGGATTTATGAATTGTATTGCTATGTGGTGCTCATTTAATCTGTATGACAAAATATCTGTGTGAGCGTTATAATATTCAGTTTTCAGTCAGAGAATCTATAGTCCAAAGAGGCTGTGAATGTCAACATGGGCGCTCCTTCAGACATCTGATGTCACAGATTTCCCGAGGCATTTGATAGGCTGTCTAGTGTTTCTTTCTTTCTTTCTTTCTTTTTTTTTTGCGGTACTGGGGCTTGAACTCAGGGCCTACATCTTGAGCCATTCCACCAGTCCTTTTTTGTGATGGTCTTTATTTATTTATTTATTTATTTTCAAGATAGGGTCTCCCAAATTATTTGCCTGGGGCTGGCTTTGAACCGTGATCCTCCTGATCTCTGCCTCCTGAGTAGCTAGGATAACAGGTGTGAGCTCCCTGTGCCCAGCTATTACTGTTTTTATTTTATTTTCCATACTACAAAATTGTGGCAGAAACCCTGAATTATTTCAAATGTAGATTTTCTAAATCTGGAGACAAAGATTCAACATATTCTAGAAATAATCCTGGGGAGATCCCAGGTAAGAAGAACTACTAAAGCCAGAGGCTGAAGGGAAATTTCAGAGCTTTGTGCTTTGTATCAAGCACAGTCAAGTGTGAGGAGCCCAATTCTGGTCTCTGGCCACCATTGCTAGAAAATTTATTCTTTTTTTTTTTTGCAGTACTGAGGTTTGAACTCAGGGCCTACCCCTTGAGCCACTCCACCAGCCCCTTTTAGTGATGGATGTTTTTGAGATAGGGTCTTATGAACTATTTGCTCAGGCTGGCTTTGAACCCCGATCCTCCTGATCTCTGCCTTTTGAGTAGCTAGGATTATAGATGTGAGCTACAAGTGCCCAGCCTTATTGTGTTGATAATGGGTAAATATTGGACCCTCTGGAGGGCACCCAAGGCAGTCTTCTGGTTGGTGGGTGTTTTGTCTCCAATGTTGTATTGGTTGGGGCTGTCTAGAGGCCCATGCTAGGGTAGACTTTGTGGTATCTTGACTTGTTCAGAAAAGGGCTGGAGCTCCTGATGGGTCAAGAAGGAGGGGTGCTACTGATGAATGGATTAAGAAAATGTGGTATCTATACACAATGGAATTTTATGCAGCCATGAAGAGGAACGAAATGTTATCATTCACTGGTAAATGGATGGAATTGGAGAACATCATTCTGAGTGAGGTTAGCTGGCCCAAAAGACCAAAAATCGTATGTTCTCCCTCATATGTGGACATTAGATCAAGGGCAAACACAACAATGGGATTGGACTTTGAGCACATGATAAAAGCGAGAGCACACAAGGAAGGTGTGAGGATAGGTAAGACACCTAAAAAATTAGCTAGCATTTGTTGCCCTTAATGCAGAGAAACTAAAGCAGTTACCTTAAAGCAACTGAGGCCAATAGGAAAAGGGGACCAGGAACTAGAGAAAAGGTTAGATCAAAAAGAATTAACCTGGAAGGTAACACCCACGCACAGGAAATCAATGTGAGTCAACTCCCTGTATAGCTATCCTTATCTCAACCAGCAAAAATCCTTGTTCCTTCCTATTATTGCTTATACTCTCTCTACAACAAAATTAGAAATAAGGGCAAAATAGTTTCTGCTGGGTATTGAGGGGGTGGGGGGAGAGGGAGGGGGCAGAGTGGGTGGTAAGGGAGGGGGTGGGGGCAGGGGGGAGAAATGACCCAAACCTTGTATGCACATATGAGTAATAAAACAATAAAAAAAAAAGTTTATCAATGGTCCTGGCAAAAAAAAAAAAGAAGGAGGCGTGCTGATGCCTCCCCTGATGAATGGAGAGGAAGTTGAGAAGGAGGCAGGGGCTGTATACTACAGGGAGCGTTGTCATATATCTTACCCCAAGAATGCTGGGGAGGGCTCATGGGAATACAAGATGGCAGGTGTTCCATGAGATGGGACTGGATCACTGACCCCTCTATAAGTCCAGAAGAATTCTAGGCCTTGTATTGTGATAAATAAGATTCTGCTATCAGGAGAATCACACTGGGTCCAGGAGGACCTTGTCTGAGGCATGTTGCAGCTGCTCGACCTGGCCATGGCAGACTCCCACGTCGTGGCCTCTCTCACTCTGGGCTGCAGAGCTGGACCTATTCGTCCAGGCCTGGCATGTAGAGTGTGGGGATTCCTGGGTGGTGAGTCACAGCATTTGTGAGCAGGAACTGTACTGGATGCCATTTTGGGGAAGGTGGGTACCCAGCCTGACAGCAGGCTCAGATTCAGACACAAGGGGAAATGGCTACAAGATGAGCTTGCTTATAGCTCAGAACAGGTGGAAGAGGAGAAGTGTTCTCTAAGAAACGAGTTGTGGCTGGGTGGACATTCCACTGTCCGCCTATGTTTAGCTGTGCCTGGAACCTGGATGGCATGATGCCTGTGTTCACCTGGTCCCTCTCACAGGCCATCTCCTGCAAGGAGTCCCCTGACTTCATGTCATGCGACTGCTGTGTTTGTGTGGGCCTTAACTCACTCTCTGTCAGCTCTCTGAGAGTTCATTATTTTCTTTGGTTCCTCTAAATATTTATTACCTCCTCCCCCTGTCAGTCATTCTTCACTTGCAAGGCAGCTAATGGGGAGAAGGCAGCAGAGAGGGGCACCAGCATCTTTAAACATGGGTAGTATAGGTTTAGCCTCTCCCCTACCCTGTGCTGAAGCATTTGTTGGCGGCCAGTGTGATGCACATGGGCGCTCAGAGGAGATTAAGGATACTTCTAAAACATTCTGGAGGGATTGCTGCGAAGATTGAGTCCTGTTAACCAATCAGAGATTCCCAGATGGAGGAGATGACTTGGGGCCAATACTCCTGTTGGCTGTTGGGAAGCAAATAGGAGTTTTGACATTCCTTCCTGATTCTTGCTTGCTGGATGCAAACTGGTCAAGCCCAGAGCCTCAGATCCAGGCCTCTGTCTGCAGCATGGTGTTTATAACAGTCCAGTGGCACCTCCTGTTTGTCAACAGTGAACATCCCACATGTGTGCTCTTAGGTACAGTTTTTCGTTTGTTTATCAGACTGTTTCCTGGCAGATAGCACAGTGTAAACAAGTTGTGGGCCTATCACCAGCTGTGCTTCCCAGTTTGCCTGACCAAGGCTTCTAGGGCTTAGATTCTGTGGGATGTTTTCTCTGGTGAGTGGATGACAGAAGCTGTCACCTAAGCGTTGGTGTCCTGTATGGCCAGTCAGTGTCACACTGGCTATGCTACTTCTCAATGTACAGTTTCATTAGAAATGGGACTGGTATGTCCCATGCATAATGTATCCACTGTTTGCACACAGTGGTCCACAGAAGAATCCGACCAGTTCACCTAGAATCCCTGGGAACCCTCCCTGCCCCAGCAAGGCGCCACTGCCTTGTAGCCCTGCCCCTGTCATCTTAGGTGCCCCAGTCCCACTGTAAAGTGAGGTAGAGAGGCCTCCAGTACCAAGATGGGGCACCATGCCTAGGCTTCCTGTCTGCCCAGGGTCCCCCTAGAGTGCGTCTACTCTGCTCATCCTAGTTAGCTGCTTCACACTTACAAGGCAGGCATTCTACTGCTTGAGTCACACCTCCAGTCCATTTTGCTCTGGTTACTTTGGAGATGGTGTCCCTGGAACTATTTTCCCAAACTGGCCTCCAAGTTGATCCTCCCAATCTCAGCCTCCCAAGTGTGAGCCACTGGCGCCCAACCTCTGTGGAGTATTGACCTTGCTCAGCCATTGCCTCTCTTTTCCTCTTCAACCAGGTGAAATGCTACCACAAGAAATACCGCTCGGCCACCCGTGATGTCATTTTCCGCCTGCAGTTCCACACTGGCGCTGTGCAGGGCTACGGGCTCCTGTTTGCAAAAGAGGAGTTAGACAATGCCTGCAAAGGTGCAGTGACTATGGGAGCACAGGGCATGGCACAGCTGCCCCTGCCCTTGCGGGGCACCATGGCACTGAGCATTCTTTCCCGTCCTCCCATCCCTCACCCCCAAATTCAGCTCAGTGCAAAATTATTACCAATCTAAGGAGCAGGTGACAATAGATCTGTGGAGGGAGGCATTCTAAGGAACCCAGGACTCCAGAGATCTTTCCTGTGGCTTTAGGTGTTTTCTCATTGCCAATTTGGGGCTCGCTGCATCACTTTTAGAGCTCCTCAGCTGCCTTTGGGCTCTGATAATGGTTTCTTTTGGCAGACGATCGTTTTCCTGACTATGGGAAGATCGAGTTAGTCTTCTCAGCTTCACCAGAGAAGATTCAAGGTGGGTAGCTGTGCAGGATACCAGATGGCTGGTATTGAGACTGGCTGAAGATGCGGTGGGTACCCTGGGGGCTGCCCCACACGCTTCTTCTCACCCATACGCTTGGAAACTTTGTATTAAATTTAAAAAATGGAGGTGGAGAGGAGGCATCTCAGAGACAATAGGCCCATTTGGATAAGTCCCAGAAATGGTGTGGCTTGCTAGAGACCATTCCTCACGGTGCCTGCAGGGCAGGGGATGCTCTAAGTTTCCACCCTCCATCTCCTGTGTTGTGCCAAATTTTTAACTTCTCTCCTCTCTCCCACCCCCCAAAATAACCAGCTTTTTAAGGGGATTGTGAGTGTAGCACACTACAAATACCTCTGTACAAAGCAAGCTCTCTTGTTTCATAAATACACATCGAAGAAGAAATAAACCCTGTTGCCATCCAGGTGAGCTGTTCAGGTCCAGCACTGGAGCTCACATATGTGAAAGTTTTCATTCTTTTTCTTTTTTGTGGTACTGGGACTTGAACTCAGGGCCTCATGCCAGGCAGGTGCTCTACTTCTTGAACCATTTCACTAGCACTATTTTTTTTTGTGTGTGGCACTGGAGTTTGAACTCAGAGCGTCATGATAGGTAGAGTGGTGCCAGGCAAGTGCTCTATTGTTTGAGTTACTCTGCCAGCCCTTGTTGGTGCTGGGTATTTTCTAGATAGGGTCTAGAATAGTCAAGAGACTATTTGCCTGGGGCTGGCTTTGAACTGAGATCCTCCTGATCTCCACCTCCTGCATAGGTAGCATTACCAGTACCTGTCCTAATTCTGTTTTAATAGCTTGGATAATCATCGCCGTTTTGCTAGGTTCCGTGTTGCAGGTTTAGGTAGGAGCGATCAGAAACAAGGCTTGTGTTTAACAATGTACTTGGTATTCTGAGAATGACTGAAGGCAGGAGATGGAGATGAGAGCCTCAGATCTTTTTTCTGAGACCTGGTGACACCTCCAGGTGCCCCTTGTGCCCAGCTTCTGTCCCAGCAGTGGTACTTGGGGCTCAGACCCTGGTACAGTGCATGAATGGCCAGTATTCACATTGGCTTTCCCCTGAGTGAGTTCAACTGTTTATTTTGTCACAAGTCCTACCTGCTTGACTATATCCAGAACCCGGATGTGGGAGGAGAGGAAGTCAATGTAGGGTTTCCACGTTGATGTTGGACTCCATTACTTTAGCCACCCTCATCCCTTGGGTCGGGTGGACAGAGGGGTTGGGCTTCCTCAGGACTAATGCTCCCCTGTGTCCTTGCAGGGTCTGAGCACCTGCAGAATGACCACGGGGTGATCGTAGACTACAACACGGCAGACCCACTGATCCGCTGGGACTCCTACGAGAACCTGAGTGCCGACGGAGAAGGTGCGTACGTCACCTCTTATTTAGTTGTCGAGGAGGCGCAGGGAGGACAGCTGGGTCACAGATCAGAAACATCCTACAATCCCTCCGTCCCCAACTTCCAGAGACCAGAAGCCACGCATTTTGTGTGACACATGTCTAAGTTTTAAGGGTGCTCCTAGGGGTTGGGCTTGATGAATCTAGGTCAGGGCCTTTGGTGGACGTGTTAACAGTGGACGGCTGGGCAATGATGTCACCTGCAGGACCACGTGCCTGCTGAGGTGGTATGTGAGTGTGTGTGAGTGTGTGTCTGAGGGGGTGCTCAGGCTTTTCTCCTCCCCCTTTAATTCTATTTTTAATAGCTTGGGTAATCATCACCATTTTGCTAGGTTCAGTGTGTAGGTTAAGATGTGGGTGTATGACTGTGAGAGTGTAAGTGTGGGTATGGGTGTTTGAATGTGCGTGTCAGTGTGAGTGTGCCTCTGAAGGTATGTACGTATGTGAGTGTGTGTGAGTATGTGTGTGTGTATATGAGCATGTATATGTGTGTGGTTGTAAGTGTGAGTGCATATGTGTGAGCCCATGTCTGAGTGTGAACATGCAGGTGATTGTGTGTGTGTGGTGTGTGTGTGTTGCCAGGGATGGCTCCCTCCTGCCCTTCTTCCTGTCTGTGTGTGGGAATCCTTAACACTGGTCTGTCTTGCACCTCCTGTGTGGCCGGGGCAGCAGAGGAGACCTTTGGGTCTGTTCCTATTTGCTCGTTACTCAGGTGTCCTTGTTCTGTGTCTGCATCATTTGAATCTCTGTCAGTGTACGTCTGTCTTGCTCAGTGTGTTATCGGTCCACCCCTGGATTACATAATGTGGGTCTTGAAGCAGAAATAAAGGAGTGAGGGGTCAGCCATCTGCTGGGGTTTCCAGAAGACTCTGTGCTCTTTTACCTGTGCAGCCACAGTTTAAGAATCAGTCTTGTTTTGAGAAGGAAAAGTCAAATCATTTTGTCAAATTAGTTATATCCAGATGTAAGCCATCCAGGACCAGTGCCACATCCTTGTGGGTTAGTGAACTTCTGGTGACCCAGGAAGGTGGCATCTGTGTAAGGTGGCGTCTGTGTTCAGTGCTGGGGACACTAATTGAGTGTCCTTGAACAAGGCAGGACAGGCCAGGACAGGACAGGGCTCCCTCTGCTTGTACTGGGGAAATGCCTGCTGCTTCCTGGGTTGTGTGGGATGAAATTTCCCCAAAAGCAATTGCTGGAGTACCACGTGCACCTGGATCCGAGGTGGTGTCCCAAAATGGCGCATGAAGTTGGGTGGGTCAGCAGTCCGGCTGTGGTGGAATCGAGCTTTTCTTTGTAAAGACCACAGAGTGTTCTCTCCCGGTGTAAATCATTCAGAGCTCCAGTCTTTCAAGATGCTAGCATATTGAGATAAGTATAAACTGGGGGCTGGTGGCTCATGCCTTTAATCCCAGCTACTCAGAAGGCACAGATCGGGATTGCGGTTCATAGCCAGCCCAGACAAATAGGTCTTGAGACCCTGTCTTGAAAATACCCATTACAAAAAAGGCCTGGTGGAGTGGCTCAAGTGTTAGAATGCCTGCCTAGCAAAGGTGAGACCCTGAGTTCAAACCCCAGGAACCCCCTGCCCCAAGAAAAGACAAGTATGTCTGATGACATTTGGAAAACTTTGCACTAGGTCTCAAATATCACAATGCACACAGGAATAGTAAGGGCTGTGAGATCGACTCAAGCAAGATGGTCAAACTGACCACAGCACTTTCTCCCGGTGAGATCTGTTAACACACAGTGCAACATTTTTCTGCCAGTCACTGCTGTTTTCCACTGGAGGAGAATTGGCAAGGGGATGGCTTCTGCAAAACTGAGTAAGTAGCCCAAGGGACACTTTGGAAAGCTGAGTAGGAGCACCAAGATCAGTTGCCTCAGAATTCTAAGTGCTGGGCCTAGAAGGGGTCAGAGGCCTTGTGCTGCATGAGAACCGACCAGCAGGGCCATGTGATAAGGTGACAGAAAGTGGGTATACGGAGAGTCCACACAAGTCCAGGGCCATGTGGCCAAGGAAGTCCTCTTGCTGTAGGGGTCAACATTGTCGTTCTCTCAATGGCAGAAGGTTCCCTAACTGCTGAGGATGGGACTGTCCTGGAGGCACAGTGACAACGGGAATGGGGCTTCTGAAATCGTGGGGGGTTGGCCTGTGGTAGTGTCACAGTTTGAGGGTGGCAGGAAGTCCGGTGGGTGGCGTGGCCCATGCAGGCCCAGGGTGAGGAGTCTGATGCCTATCGGAGCTGTGTGTTTAACCCTCCACAGGTACCCTAGCCCTTGTCCCTGAGCTGATTCTGAGCTGAGCCTGTGGCATGCCCGGGGTCAGGCTTTGTCAGTTTCCAGCCAGGGACCTGGTGTTGATGGGGGCCCAGGGCCACAGAACACAGAAGTGATGAAGGTCCGTGCTGGTTTTCCATGGAAAAAGCAAAAACAAATGATAAAAACGGGAGTCCGTGTTGCCCCTTAGGGGTTAGAAAATGTATGGAAATGTGTGTGTGTGGGAGAGCGAGAGAGAGCACGTGTGTGTGCATGTATTGGTGCAATATGAGCACGTGTAAGTGTGTTTGTACATGTGTGAGTGTGAGTGCATGCGTGCAGATTGTGAGTTTTGTGTGAGAGTGCATGTGGGGGTGTGCTTGTGAGTGAGTATGTGTTTGAGTGTACATATGTGTGTGAGTGCAGGGGAGTGAGTGTATATGTGAATGTGTGTGTATTGATACTGTGTCAGTGACCTTTCCATGACGGTGACAAAATACCTGAGGCAAACAACTTACAGGGATAGAAAGTTTATTTGGCTCATGGTTTTAGTCTATGGTTGGTTGGCTCCATAGTTTGGGGATCTGTGGTGAGAGATAACCTCATGGCAGGGAGTTCCTGGCCAGAAAGGAGAGAGAGAGGGGGGGGGGTCACAGTTTCCATATCCTTTTCAACAGCATGTCCTCAATGACCTTCTTTCCTTCCACGAGGCTTCACCTCCCATTAGCTCCACCATGGGGACTGAAGTCCTTTGGGGATGTGTAACTCAGACTTTTCCTTGCTATGACAGATACCTGAGAGAAACAATCTAAAGGAGGAAAGATGTATTTATTTGTTTATTTATACACTTCTCGGTTTCATACCATGGTCAGCTGGTGCCACTACTCTTAGACCCTTGGCAAGGCAGAAATAACCTGGAGGAAGAATATGGCCAGAGGTACGCAGCTCACCTCATGGCATCCAGGAAGCACAGAGAGGCAGGAGGGGACAGGGACAAGATACATCCTTCAAAGGCAGGCCCCCGTGATCTACTTCCTTCAGTAAGGCCCACCTTCCATAGTTCCAGCACCTCCCAATGGTCCACTCAGGTGTTGACTCCATCAGTGGATTAATCCACTGACAGAGGTCACCCAAAAACCCACCTCTCAACAGTGCTTGCCTCTGGGATCAGGCAAGCCTTCAACACAAGAGCCTTTTTGTGTACGTGTGTGTGTGGGGGAGCTATTCTCTTCATATCGAAATCATAGCAAGGGACATTTTCAGGTCAGAATTATAGCAGGTACTTGTATCACCAAAGACGTGTTGCTGTGACCAATTGATGTAGTCAGAGAGCAGTTGAGCATCAAACATGCATGATCACCGGAAACATCTTCTTTCCTTGGTAATCTGTTCGGGTATGGTAATAGAACACACCATAGCCTGGGTGGCTTTAATCAATGAAAAATGTTTTCCCACAGTTCTGGAAGCTGGAAGTCCAAGTTCAGGATGGCTGCCTGGTTGGGTTCTGGTTGCAGTGGGCTAGCTTGTTGCTGTGTCCCATGGTTCACGAGAGCTTTCTGGTATCTGTTTTAGAGGGGCACCCATTTCATCACAAAGGCTCTACCTTCCTGATCGAATCACCTCCTGATGCTGTCTCATTGGAGGGGTTAGGTTTCAACACAAGAATTTTGAAGGGATACAGGCATTCAAACCATAGCATATATTCAATGTGTTTGTTGAGTGAATAATCAGAGACATTGTTTAAACTTTAAATGTCTAAGGCCTGGTATTTCTAGCCTTCTGATGTGACCAATGACAGTTCCTGTTGGGGTAGACTCAGCATCTTCTGATCTGTCAGCATGAGCAAAATGGAGCCCCTGTGCTGCAGTTAGTAAGAGGCTCCAGGGCCACGCGGGTGGACCATCAGGGTGGCAGACAGGGAGTCAGGCAAGAGTTGGGTCTGGGGGTGAGGAGAGAGGGGCATGTGGGCAAAAGTATGAGGAAGAGGGTGAGAAGGACCTGTGAGAGTGGGGCAGATGCCTGCAGGAGAGGGGATGGGGCATGGAAAGGTGCCAGGCAGCAAGAAACACCCAGATCCATAAATGGTAGGTCCATAGCTGTCCTGCGGAAGTAGCAGGGAGGGTCTTGATCTGTGCTTTAAATCCTAGTATTTCTGTGAACTAACTTGGCTTTCTGAAAACCGTCATGCCCAGCTCAACAGCAAAGTTGTCCTGAGAAACGGATCCTCAGACGATGTCCTCTTTGTGCAAAGGTCAGAGTACACTTACGCAAATTAAGATGGCTGCTCTGTTACCAGGTGATGTCATCTTATGGACCACCTGTGTATACTCAGTCATCCTTGACCAGAGGCTGTTCTGCGGTGTCTGACTGTAGTCTACTCACCGCATGTTATCTTCAAATGTCTTGAGAGTTCTGGGCCAGTGCTAGCTGGCTCATCCATCCGGTCACCACCACTGCTTCCACTGCTTGTTTCAGGCAGGCTTTCTTGGGGTCCACGCTAAACCCGTGAGGCTATGATACTGGTTGGTTTTACCAAACTTTAGGAAATCTAGAGTGAGTTTTTACTTTTCTTCTTGAAAATCAATTCATGCTTATATCAGACTTTTGAAGAATGCAAACTATCATAAAGAAAACGTATGTTGCCAGGCACAGGTGACTCACACCTGTAATCCTAGCCACTCAGGAGGCAGAGATCAGGTGGATTGCCA